TTAAAAGAGAGAGAAAAAGAAGGAAAGAAGCAACGCAAAAAAGAAAGAGATAAAAATGGAAGAAAGAAAGAAAGAAAGAAAGAAAGAAAAAAAAGAAAAATTAAAAGAGAGAGAAAAAGAAGGAAAAGAAGCAAAAAAAGAAAGAGATAAAAATGGAAGAAAAAAGAAAGAAAGAAAGAAAGAAAAAAAAAAAAAATTCAAAAGAGAGAAAAAAGAAGGAAAGAAGCAACAAAAAAGAAAAAGATAAAATGGAAAAAGAAAGAAAAAAGAAAAAAAAAAAAAAAGAAAAAAGAGAGAAAAAAAAAAAAAAAAGGCTAAAAAAGAGAGAAAAAAGAAGGAAAGAAAAAGAAAGAAAAAAGAAAAAAGAAAAAAAAAAAAAGAGAGAGAAAAGAAGAAAAGAAAAAAAAAAAAAGAGAAAAAATAAAGAAAAGAAAGAAAGAAGGAAAAAAAAAGAAAAAAAAAAAGAAAGAGAAAAGAAAAAACGCAAAAAAGAAAGAATAAAATGGAAGAAAGAAAGAAAAAAGAAAAAAAAAATTCAAAGAGAGAAAAGAAGGAAAAAACAACGCAAAAAAAAAGAGATAAAAAATGGAAGAAAAAGAGACAAAAAAAAGAAAAAAAAAAAAAAAAAAGAAAAATTCAAAGAGAGAGAAAAAGAAGGAAAGAAGCAACGCAAAAAAAAGAGATAAAAATGGAAGAAAGAAAGAAAGAAAGAAAGAAAAAAAGAAAAATTCAAAGAGAGAGAAAAAGAAGGAAAGAAGCAACGCAAAAAAGAAAGAGATAAAAATGGAAGAAAGAAAGAAAGAAAGAAAGAAAAAGAAAAAAAGAAAGAAAAAAAGAAAGAAAAAAAGAAAAGATAAAAAAAAAAGAAAGAAAAAAGAAAAAAGAAAAAGAAAGAAAAAAGAAAAAAAGGAAAAAGAAAGAAAAAGAAGCAACGCAAAAAAGAAAGAGATAAAAATGGAAGAAAGAAAGAAAATAAAAAATTGAAAGAAAAAAGAAAGATTGAAAGAAAGAGAAAAAGAAGGAAAGAAAGGTAATTTGTAAAATACAATATCGTTAAAATATAATTAATTAAATTGAATAGAAAGAGAAAAGACGAAACTATCCGAACAAAGAATCCGTTTCCGGCCACAGTCTGCATAGAAATCTATTCAGGAAGAAGAAATAAAGTATTAAAAATTATACGGAAAATAAGGAACAAATATAGAAACGGAAAAACGCAAATAAATACAAATATAGAATGTAAAGCTTAAACAAAAAGCATCAAATATTCACAAGAAAAGACGCCATTTTGTAAGTAGGAGAAAAATCTAAACTAAATTATAATTTAAATCAAGTCTTATACTTAGTTTCATTTACAAACATATGCTGAATATTTCTCATTTAATTTAATATATACTTATTTTTTTTCATCCTCTACAGCTTCGTTTAAATCATCTGCAGTGCACTTTCTTTTCTTTTTTTTCTTTTACAAACGAAACTTATCGTTGCTATAGTAGGGACCGGGAAAAATATTTGACCAAATGTCATCCATTGACATTTAGTGTCAAAAAGCCCAGTGACATTTTGCGAGGCCCAGAAAGTAAAGACCGGTCATATATCCGGGTCCCTAACTAACGAGAAAATCCTCGATACTAAAGACCGACGAAAGCTGCAGATGGCATCTTGATTGTTTAAGATGGCGGAAAACAAAACGTTAAGTATGTAAAAAAAAAAAAAAAAAAAAAAATAGAAATAAGAAAAGTAACAAAAAAAAACAAGTAATTAGTTATACGCATGCGCAAAACAAAACTCGGGTATAAATTCAAATTTGCACTTACTCTAAATTGCCGAAAATATAGATCGACTTTCTGTATAAACGTATGGAACCAACGTGGAGGTGTGAGTAGAGTGCTTAAACGTGGAGGTGGAGGTGTGAGTAGAGTGCTTAAACGAATAATCAGTATCATTATAAAATGTTAATATTCCTATAATTACACATTTTGTTCTATTTCATCATCATCATCATTATTATCCACACCATCATCCTCCATATATCTAGGTTGAAAGGCGGAGACATATTTGTTCATGAATAGCATAGCCCAGCCCATTCCAGGTCAGACCACAGTCAGTTTCCTCGAATTAAAAGCTCACCTTGGACTCGGATATGCTGCTGTTGATTCCATCGAGGGATCTTTTCGCCCTCGCGATTAATTTCAATAGAAAACCCTCTGCCCAGCAATACCGTGTCATCACCATACTGGATGCGCACATCGCAAAATAAAATATACAGGGTTAAGTCAAAAATTATCCGCACGTTCGCCATAACATATCGTTAAGTTTGTCCCACTGCCTTCTGCTCAGGCGTGCTTATAGTTGATACTATTGTGGTCACGTGATCCAACTTTTGAGCTTGATCGCGCCAGTTTTCTTACTGCTGTTACAGTGTAAACATGGCCGCTCCGTTAGCAGTGTACACCAAGTGTTCACTGTCGCCATATTGTGATAAAAATCCTCTGATGAATTTCAGCCCCTGACACTCCTTCCGATCAGAGAAATCGGATCAATGCACTTTGTTCCTGTTTGGTGCACACTGCTAGCGGAGCGGCCACGTTTACACTGTAACGGCAGCAAGGAAATGAAGTTCAAACTTCGTGTTAACATGGCCGCTCCGTTAACAGTGTACACCAAGGAGGAACAAAGAGCTGTGATCCGATTCTGCAGAGAACATGCTACCTCATCGGTGATAACCGCCGGCTCGCCATTACCATCTCTCGAGCCTGCTAAATCTTCTATTCACTGCTAGAGGTTGACAGGCGTCCTGCTCCTTCTTCGTGTGTCACACTTGTTCAGTCACTTGTAAACTTCTCGATCCACTCATACACACTTCTAGGCGGTAGTTAACTCATCGTCATAAAAAAGGCCTCTGATGAATTTCAGCCCCTGATACACTTTCCGATCCGAGAAATCGGATCAATGCACTTTGTTGCTCTTTGATGCATACTGCCAGCGGAGCGGCCATGTTTGCACTGTAACGGTAGCAAGAAAATTAGCACGATCAAGCTTCGATCACGTGACCACAATAGTACCGACTATAAGGTTGTATGAACAGAAGGCAGTGCAACAAATGTAGAGATGTTATGGCGAACGTGGGGATATTTTTTTTACTTACTCTCGTAAATAAGCTTCTTCTTTTTTAAGCATTTCTCCCCAAGCAAGGCAGGAGTGTCACTACCACGCCAGGATTGAGAACAAGAGTAAAGAGGTGTGTTTGAGGGGGGGATAAAAAGAAGGACGGGGAACAAGATTACGGTATCAGAATATATCGATTGACATTACACTTGAATATTTGAAGATTATAATCATGGAAGTAAGTAAGAGGAAGAGAATTCATCAGAGGGGAAGTGCGAGAGAAGAAACTGTTTGAGTAGAAGAGACTGTTTAACTGTTTCGACAGTGAAAGGGTGGGAGCAAGATGCCAACCTAGTAGCACGCTTAAATTCATGCAGTCTGGGAACCAGAGAAAGCAAGACGTCGGAACAGTTGCCATGAAAATACTTATAGAAGAGACAGAAGGAAGCCACGGCACGTCTACTGGATAGCGTTTGTAGACTAGATGCCAGATCAGGACCTATCACATTGCATATCCGTCTCTGGATTTTGTCAAGGAACTCGAGACTTACAGCGGGGGCACCAGACCATATATGACAGTAATATTCCCTGCAAGGAAAGATGGTTGATTTATAAATTTGAAGGATGAACTCAGACGAGAAAATCTTTCTGGCACGACACAGAGAAGGAAATTTCCTTGCGGTAGAAGCTATTGTATTTGTTCCTCTTCATATCAGCGGATAGCGCGAGACCAAGCAGGCGCAGCGAGGCGCAGTGAGGTGCTCTCCTGGAGTTGGGCATCAGCCATTCTGATGGGAGGCAGGTAGGGTTCTCTGAGGTGGGTAAATGAAAGCAGTTTCATTTTGGAGGCATTGAAGTTTACAAGCCATTTCCTGTCCCTGTCAACCACAGACTGGAGGTCCTTTTCGAGACGGGCGGCCAGGTTAGTTTTGTCAGCGAAACCAGATTTACTATTGAGGCAGGAATAAATAGTAGTGTCGTCCGCGCAGATGCCAACTTGGGAACTGATGACATCGAAAAGGTCATTAATGAAGATCAAGAACAGTGTAGGACCCAAGATAGAGCCTTGGAGGACACCGGCGTTCGTGATAAAGGAGCTGGAGGAGAACCCGTTTAGGAAGTCCTTCATTCCACGGTTGACAGGAATGATTGTATTAATTCAAATAATCGTCCTGAAATTCCCTATCTCTGAAGCTTACGAAGAAGGCCGGCATTCTAAACCCTATCTAACGCTTTAGAAATATCTAGAGCCACGGTTCGAGCTTATCCGTTATTGTGAAGTGCTTTGTATACAAACTCAGTTATGGCCGTGAGCACATCAGTTGCAGACGGGCAAAGCGGAAACCATATTGCTTGTATGAGAGCAGATTATGGGAAGTACGGTGCTTAATCAATTCAGAGTTGATTAAAGTATCAAAGAATTTACTGAAGAGTGGTAAAAGACTGATATAACGGTAGTTAGATAGGTCAGAAGGGTCTCCAGAGTTCTTAAAGACAGGCACAACAGATGACTTCCGACAGGCTGGAAAACAAGTTTCTGTGAGGCAGTAGTTGTAGTAGTTTGGAGAGGACAGGAGCCAGTTGAGGAGCACATTTCTTCAGGACAATGGCCGGTATCTTGTCCCCACCACTAGCCTTATGGGAGTCTAATTTAAAGATGATGTCCAATACCATCGATGGGGTTATGTGCATCACACTCAGTAGAGCCTCGTTTCTAGGGGGGGAAATAGAGTGTGAGTACACCAGATGAGTTTAGAGTTGAAATGGATGAAAATTTCCGAGCAAAGCATTTTGCCTTATCAGCTGAGGAAGTCAGGACCTCAAAATGGTTGAATAAAGGTAGTATTGTGGGTTTACTGTTGTTCAGCACGCTCTTGCAAACCAAACATGTGAGGAGCCATTTTTTTGTTTCATTCTTTTGGCAGATTAACTTTGCTTCTTTGAGGACATGCTTGCACTCTTTACGGACAGGGACGAAGAGACGTCTGTTGTAATCAGACATGTCTCTACGGTACAGATGGAAGTAGTGATTCCTGTGGGCAATAGCAGCTGAACAAGCAGCTGAGAAGCAAGGGGAGGAACGCGATTTCACTTTATATTTTCTTGCGAGGATGAAATCTTCGATTCCAGCTTTTACACAGCGTGAGACCTCAGACGCACATTTTTGGACAGGGAGATTAAAAACGGCATTCGAGGGAACGTCGCAGAAGAAATCACGGAACGAGTTCCAGTCTGCTCGTTGATAACAGAAAGACATTCTGTTAGTGGGAGGTTCTTTACTTGGGGAAGGAGTAGAAGGAGAGGTTAAAAGACACGACGGCATGATCAGAGTTGCCAAGAGGGCAGAGCTGCGTGGCACGACAAGACTTTGGGATAGATTTAAAACAGAGATCGATAAGAGAAGCCTTACCTTCATGGTTACTGGGGAAATGCGCAGGAAAGTCAACCACTTGTGTTAGAGTTTGAGTGATTGAAAATTTAAGGGTTTGTATACCAGGAAGGTCAATTATGGAGTGATTAAAGTCCCCGAACACAAATATGTATGCAGACGGATGTAGGCAGACAGAGAGATAGATAGATAGATAGATAGATAGATAGATAGATAGATAGATAGATATCAACAGTATCAGATAGATAGATAGATAGATAGATAGATAGATAGATAGATAGATAATGTGCGAACTGAGACACAGAGAGAGAGAGAGAGAGAGAAAAGATTGCACCAATGATAATTTCATCTGGCATTAATACACGGCCTTGGGTCACCAACTAATAATTGTACTCATAACACAGTGATAATCAAATGTATTACACGATTGTATTAGAATTTGAACATGCCAGTGTGCACGCGTGTGTGTGTGTGTGTGTGTGTGTGTGTGTGTGTGTGTGTGTGTGTGTGTGTGTGTGTGTGTGTGCCGGACGTAGAGTGTGTATAATTATCGGCAGTCCGGTCATAGGAATATTAACGTACAGTGTTGATTCCTATGTCTTCTCTCCTCTCTGTCTCATTCGCTCTCTCTCTCTCCTATATATATATATATATATATATATATATATATATATATAATCGGTATCACTCCAAACAAGACAGTAAAGCGACTAAACCTCAAGGGTGTGTGTTGAAAAATTAGGGACATAAACGTAAATAATGAGCAGAAAGAGAAAAGAGTAATCAGGAGGACAGTAAATAACGATTGACATTACATTTAAATTTTACATACATACATGTATATATATATATATATATATATGTGTGTGTGTGTGTGTGTGTGTGTGTGTGTGTGTGTGTGTGTGTGTGTGGTTAGAGTGAATTCAATTGAAAAATCACGTGGCACCCAGAAATCCGGCCAGCTGCTTTTTTAAGACATCATTCTATCCCTTTTGTGGCCCCGGCTTTTCTGTTTAGTTGACCGGAGGCCAGTTCGCTAAACAGTGTGTTCTTTGGAACTCAATCGTTTTCTCTCCTCTATATATGACCTTCCCAGCGCAGAAATGTTTTTGTTGGTGTTGCTTTTGTTTTTCTTTCCTTTTTTTACCCTTTTTTTTTTTTTGTTTTTACAGAAGTGCTTGATTATGGCACCTCATTTTTTGTCAATAGCTTGATTTATCCAGATATTAAAAGCTTTTGTTTAACTGGCAGCTGCCTCTATTTTCTAACTCTATTCTCTTAAACACTGTAAAAATGAAATCATTGTACAGGATAAGGCATAATTACACATGAAAAATTTACATCCTATTTATTTAATTGTTATATGTGCTGTTCAAAATGTCCTCCTTCGCTTTTTCAAAAGTCATTTCAAATGAAATTTTATCGGCGTATGTTTGATATAAACAGGCCCAATCCTGTTCAAAATTTAGAGGACCATATACCTTCATTATATATATATAATATAGTGGTTCCAAAAGAAATATGTTATATTAAAAATGGAAAAGGAAATTTTTATAATGTATTTGATATATACAAAACGTTTTTTGGTTGTAATGCATTTGAGAAAAAATATACAGGACATTTAGAGGACCATGGAATATTCTTCATATATGGAATTTATATTATAAAAATAATTATTTTATCATGTTCAATGTAGAATATATATCGAGACATTCTAGTGTTGGCAAAGAAATTTTCTTTCATTCAGTTTATATATATATATATATATATATATATATATATATTATATATATATATATATATATAGGGGAAAAAAAAGTCACATTTAGGGATAATTAATTTAAAGTATAATTACACATGAAAATTTTATTTACTATTTATTTAATTGTTATATGTGCTGTTCAAAATGTCCTCCTTTTTCAAAAAACACTTAAATTCTGTGCCTCCATGATTCATTCTCATGTCGAAGCATTTCCTCTGTCATTTTACGGCATTCATATTTCATTCTTTCTTTAAGTTCCTCAATATTTCTTGGCCGTGTCTGATAAGCAATTGATTTCAAATGGCCTCATCGAAAAAAAATCCAAGAGTGTAAGGTCTGGTGATTAAATAATTAACCCTACATTGCGCGACTTTTGCCTCACCCTCTCTATTTAGAAACACTTATTTCAAAATCTCTGTTAAATCACCAGTATTTTTGCACAACAAAAATTTTCTGATAAAATCATTATTTTCCTAAAATCTAATATCCAGATATTTAAAATTGTGATTTAACAAATGATGAAATAAATTTTACTCATTGAGTAGCCATTTTTGTAATCTTTTAAATTTTTTTACACAGTTTTTACTTATCGAATACAGTAAAAAAAAAAAATGCATATTTTTCATGTGCTGATTTATAATTCGAATTCTGGTTTGAATATATTTTCCCTTCGATGTCTCTAATACAAAAGATATCAACCTGATTTAGATTTATTCCTGAAATAATAAAGTTTTGGAATCAAAAACATGCGGAAATTAAATAATTCGCTACATTTTTTCAAATGATATTTAAAACTAAATGCTCACAAATTTATGAAAGTTATGAATCTATTTTTTAGTGTCAACACTTATTATATTAAACCCCAGGTTTCACGCTGAGTGCAATATTGATTTTCTAAAAAAATTGTAAGAAATCAACCTGCCTCATTGATGCAATAACCCAGTCGATAGTACAATCAAATCGAAAACTGAACCGATTAAATTTGTTTCATTATATCAATCACTAATTCACTGAAGAAGGTTTGATGAACAATTGGCTTTTTTCTAATATTAACACTAAATAGTTTGGTCAGGTCCCTTCACTGATGGTAAAATGATCAAATTTCAAATCTAAATTGTCCATCTAAAATTCTACATTTATTCATTAGAAAATATGGAATAAATACATTGAGTCAATTGCCTCGTCCACCGCAAGGAAAGTTGGCTCCCTGAGCCGCGCCAGGAAGTTTTTCTCCCCGGAGTCGATCCCCCAGATCTACAAATCAACAATTCGCCCTTGCATGGAGTATTGCTGCCATATATGGTCTGGTACCCCTTCTGTTTGCCTCGGGGTTCTTGATAGGCTCCAGAGGCGGATATGCAATATAATTGACCCTGCTCTGGCATCTCGTCTCACAGACGCTCCGTCGCCTCCCTCTGTCTGTTCTACAAATACTTTCATGGAAATTGCTCCGAGGAGCTGCATTCGCTGGTTCCCAGACGTCATGAGTTCCAGCGCCTCACGAGGCTGGCATCCCGCTCTCACCCCTTCACTGTCGAAACTCCTAAATGTAGGCGTCTCTTCTACTCTAATAGCTTCATGTCTCGCACCTCTCGCCTGTGGAACTCCCTTCCCTATTCTTGTTTCCCTGTGAACTTTAATCTCCAGCTATTCAAGTGTAATGTCAATCGACATCTCCAGTTGCCTTGATCTATCCACTACCCTTCTCCTCATCCTTTCTTCTATCACTCCTATCTGATCTTGCTCTAAATTTTCTGTAACCCCTTGCGTCCTAGTGGCTTCCCGCCTTGCTTGGGGTGAAATGCTTAAAAAAAAATATATATATATATATATTCAACGTAAATACAAAAAATACGAATAAAAATAACTTCAAAGAGCCATACGTTTCAGTTTATTCTATTTTCCGCTTACCCAAGGTTTGTTGCCAGACAGAAACGGAAATTAAACCACGTAACGCAGATGATCATTTCAAGTACATTCAAACTGTGCATAGGTTTCATGTGAACATATATATATTTTAATTGAATAACAGACCTAAAATTATATTTCTACAAATTAAAATAACTTTAAAATTAAATTTATATCTTATTGAAAAATTTCCGTAAACTTCAGTATATTCATTAAATTATCTGATTTTTTAGGATTGTTTTTTCTTGCCTCCAAAGTCATCATTTGATTACTCAGCCCAGGGTAGAGGTTGGCTAGACTGAATGGGAGGGAATGCATTATTCCAATATCTTATTTCAAGTCCAATCAAATTGTGAGTGTATATGTGTGTACGTGTGATTGTCTAGATATAAAATGGCACAAATACACATAAGTCAATCACGAACAACACATACGTATATATATATATATATATATATATATATATATATATATATATATATATATATATATATTATATACTCAGAGGAGAACATGAAGACAGTGTGTGACGGACAAACAATCGGCCCTTCTCTCTCTCTCTCTCTCTCTCCTCTCTCTCTCTCTGTGTTTAGCTCTTGAAAATATATTTCAGTTGAGCACTGTTGAGTGATAAACTAATTCTATAAACAACGGCCACCTGCGTTAATGCAAAGCTCTTCACTAAAATGAACAGAGCACTCCGGCTGATTGGCATTTGTTTACATTCGTAAAAACAATACGCTAGATTTAGCTGTTTCACTCTGACGAGTGAAGATAGCTCAGTGGTAAATGCTCTAACACCAAATCAGTTGGGTTTCGATGCTGGCTTGAGATATTCGGGTGTCTACTCGCACTAAGGAGCCGTGATACAGCGAAACAGTACTGTCTGCGAATGATATATATATATATATATATATATATATATATATAACTACGTGACTTCTGTTAGTCCGTCCGTTACGCCATCTAAAATAGCCATATATTGACTGATCGAAACCAAATTTGGGGGAGAAGTACAAATAGGTAAGGGGGTACAATCTACACTTGGTTTTACTAGGGTGCGTAGTTTAGTAGAATAAATTTTAATTAATTTGGGGGGAAAAATTAGAAGTTTTATTATTTAACATACTAAATGTTTCCACTATTTTAAAAACAATTTAATGATTAAAGTAACAAATAATTATTTAATAAAAAATGCAATATTGTTTTTAACATATGTTTTCTTTAAGTTTTTATATACAAGAATCTAGTTTCCAGTTCGCCCTGCGTTTGCAAGAACTATAAACAAATCACCAGGCGAAACGATTCTAAACGTTGGAATTTGGCTCGAAAAATAAATATTTACGCATGGCCAGTTGTATGTTGCATGCTCAAGAGTAAGAAATCATAAGGATTTATTCTTAGATGTTAAAAAGAAAGCAAGAAATATTCTTCAAAAGTATTGCTTACCATAAAGTCCTATAAAATTAAATTAAAGAAATTCTTAAACTTCGAAATAGGGTTTTTGTCAAAGTATTTTTCCAAACAAATCAGCTTATTCAAATTTCATCCATTGCTTTGCGAAATTGAATGAAACGTACAGTTTGTGAACCTTGACAAAAATGTTAGCGATAACATCAACAATACTAAATACTGTAAGGATTTAAAAATTCTACTCTTTCATAGATTAACGTTAGTATGGAACTT